CTCTTTTAAAATTCCCAGCATTGTTACCCTGTAGTTATGAGTAAAGAAGAACCCCTCACTGGGGCCCAAGGAACCCCGAATGATAGCAAAAGAGCGGCAGAAAAGGCTCAAGGCTCAAAGACACAGGAGGAAGGATTCACCCCACCTACCCAACAGCCCGGGATCAGGGGTCCAGCATCACTGGGTCCAGCACCCTGACCTATCCCAACTCTAGACATACATAGATGGGGCAAAGCACAGAGGACAGCCACACACATAAAGAAGCCTGAAGCCAGCAGGGCCTGCCAGACAGGATGGGTGTGCTGGACCCTTCAGCAAGAGGGTCCAACACCAGCCGTGCCAAGTAGAATATGGAGTGCTAGGGGATATCTGTGCTGGGAAGGGACCAAGGAAGAAAATGACACTCATGTCCCCTGCCCAGGTGAGAAGGAGCTAGGAGACACCCTGTGCCAGAGAGGTAAGTGACCTCCCAGATGGCCAGCAACAATACAGTGCAGGAACCCATACTACCTGATCCTTTTGCTTGACCCTGGAGCACACCCCAGGTACAGGCCGATCCTGCCTGCCTCCCCACGGTACAGGGCCCCGGAGCTGCAAAGACATGCTGACTCGGGGGGTCTTCCTGACTGGCTGGTACACCATCTATCTTCCTGACTGCCGGCCACTGACTGTGCTCTGTGACATGGATGTGGATGGTGGGGGCTGGACGGTGAGTAAGAAGGCTCAATTCGGAGCATATGAAGTTTGCATACAGCAGCCACCCCACCCCCCCGGAGAGAGCCAGAGGCAGAAGCCAGAGAGATAGCAAAGTAACCACAAAAAAAAAAAAAAAAAAAAAAAAAAAAAAAAGGCAGTGCAGCTACAAAGGAGACCCTAAGCGCTGATGGACCAGGATCTAGAACTCCATGGAGTTACGTGGGCAATAGGACCCCAGTCATGACAGATGCATCCAAGTATCTGGCAGCCCTGCCTTTTGCACTGGGCCACTGATGTCCACCTTTGTACTCTCCTGTGCCACCTGCCTCCTGAAACCTTGTCCTCATCCACTTCCTTATGGGGGCACAAAAAGAGGAGGTGGCCTAGACATACCCCTCATCCCTACTCCTCAGAGCCCCACACCCACAGGCTGCCCTGCCCACCCCACAGGTTTTTCAACGACGACTGGATGGGTCCATCAACTTCTTCCGAGACTGGGACTCCTATAAGAGAGGCTTTGGCAATTTGGGCACAGAGTTCTGGTTGGGCAATGACTACCTGCACCTGCTCACAGCCAATGGTGAGAAACAGTGCCTCAGCCAGCACCTGCCTTCCCCGGTTCTGCCTGGCCCATCAGCCTTTTCCTTCCTTCCTTCCTTCCATCCATGTGGCCAGGGAACCAAGAGCTCCGCATCGACTTACGAGATTTCCAAGGTGAAACCTCCTATGCCAAGTACAGCTCATTCCGGGTATCTGGAGAACAGGAGAAATACAAGCTGACCCTGGGGGAGTTTCTCGGGGGCACTGCAGGTAAATCGTGTAGATCTTGAAGCTGTTATTGGGGATATGAAAAGGGGCCTGCAAGCTGCCACTGCCCATCTTGGCTGGGCTCTGCCTTGGCCCTGAGGACTGACAGGTGTGAATCTTTCTAGGAGACTCCCTGACAAGTCACAGCAACAAGCCATTCACAACCCATGACCAGGATAATGATACAAATGGCCTGAAAAATTGTGCAGCTTTGTTCCACGGGGCCTGGTGGTATCACGACTGTCACCAGTCCAACCTCAATGGACGCTACTTGCCTGGCTCCCATGAGAGCTATGCAGATGGCATCAACTGGTTAACAGGCCGAGGCCACCGCTACTCCTACAAGGTTGCTGAGATGAAGATCCGGGCATCCTAGGGTGCCCCTTCCCCCGCCCCTGCAGCCATGTCCAGACCAAGTGGGGACACAGAAGGGAGGGATCATGAGAAGATGATGTCTATGTGCTGTCTGTTATGTGTTCCCTACACTCCCCTCTGGACATGAGCGGTGTGCACTAATAAAAGTCAAATTAGTAAAAATGGTAGCCTGAACTCTAGGAGGGTCTGCAGCAGTAAAGGGCAGCAAGGAAGGGAGGCCCCCAAACATCCGTGCAGCCTTGAGGTTGAGACCCAGAGAGTCACCAAGACGACAGCACTGGGGAGGAGTCGGCACAGCCTTCCAAGACATGCTTCCAGGAACAAACCCATTAATGAGTGGACAGACCAAAGGGAGACCAACTCAGTGCCTGCTGTAGCCCTAAGCAGAGAGGCTTGGAGTTCATTCCCACAATCTCTTCCATTGTAGCAACTCCATGGCCACTCTGGACACAGGGGACAGAAATTTGAGTGGCCAGTGCTGAGTATAGCCCCAGAAAACAAAAGGCAAACGGATGGGGGACAGTGACCTCAGGAACTCTGGGAAGACCGTTAGCTGAACAGGGCCCCGATAGTGGGCACAGGGAAGCTTTCAGTGTCTGGGACTCAGCCAGAAGGGGCTGAGAGGCCACTGAGCAGATGTTCACATTATACCTAAGAACAAACTGAGTGAGGCCCAAAGGACTGAGTGCTGCTGAGAGCCATCCCTGGCTCATTCTCAAGAGACAAGTGTCTCCCTGCTGGAAGGTTCAGAGGGTGACACCTACAGTGCAGCCCATAGCAATGGAGCAGGTAGCTGCAGTGCTATGACCAGGCCCAGGAGTACAAAGCCAGGATTCACCATGGAAAAAAATGCTAAATGTAGCCAATCAGGCCAGGAGCTCCCTGACCATTGATGACCACACACCCAGCCTTGCCAAGGTGTCAGGATCTTGAAGGTCATTCAGCAGAGAAAAGTGAACAGCAAGTACAGGAGGCAGAGGTAGCAACCTGAGTGACAACTACTGGCCTGGGCCCTGAGAAAGAAGAGCACCGAAATATCCAAGCTGACAGAGAAGGGATAGGATGGGGGGCAGTATTAGAAGGATACAGGTGGCCCTTTCACCCATATGGACATGACAAACTAAAGTTATTCTGGGGCAAATCTGGGGGCACCAGGGACAGTCACTGTTCCCATCTTAAGAGACTCAGCAGTGAACACACCCACTCCATAGAAGAGGAGGAGGACGACCAAGGGACCGGTGCAGAACCGGAGGGGAAAAGGGAGGCAGCAGAGACCTGAGTGAGAGGCTGGGGTGGGGATGTGAACACAGAGGGGTCCCCACTCAGGGACCTCGTTCTGGATACTCCAGGGCCCCCAAGTGTCCTGAAGGGAACAGGCACCGGTGACACCGGCTGTATGTCTTCATGTCTCTTCCACGGTTAGGTACCAGCTAATGTCAGTTGATAGGACTTACAGGTACATTTTTATTTTTTAGGAGCATCTGCATTTCTCAAAATTTCATACAAAGTATTAATGACTTTAATAAGCAATAATATTTTTTTTACAAAACTTTTCATTTTAGGTATATGTGTGTTTTGCCTGCGTGTATATGTCTGTGTAGCGCATGTGTGCCTGGTACCTCTGGAAGCCAAATGAGGACATCAGATTCCCTGAGACTGGAGTTACAGATGGTTGTGAGCTGCATGTGAGTGCTGGGAATGGAACCCAGGCCCTCTGCTGAGCCATTTCTCTAGCACCCAATTAGCATTCTTTTTGCTGGGTGGTGGTAGTGCCTGCCTTTAATCTCAGCACTCAGGAGGCAGGTAGATCTCTGAGTTTGAGGCCAGCCTCAGCCAGCACATCCAGAGCTACACAGGGACCCTTGTCTTGAAAAAACCAAGAGCAAAAACAAAAAGAAGAGGAGGAGCAGGAGAAGGAAAAGGAGGCTCAGTAGATAGAGCACTCACTACTCAGAGAGGACTGGAGTTCAGTTCCCACCACCTATTGCGTGTCTCTCATAGATGGCTGTAACTTAGATCCAGGGGACCCACTGCTCTCTTCTGACCTATGCAGGCACCTACACACATATGCACACACCCACATACAGACATACATAACTAAAAAATAAAAAGATGGACTGAGGAGTCAGCTGAGTATTTAAATTGCTTAGCACGCAACCATGAAGCCCGACCCCCTTTCCTCTCCTCCCCCCCCCCTTCTCTCTGAAACAGGCACTCCAGATTAGCCCAAACTGACCTTCACCTCCCCAGAGCTAGGATGACTTGGGTACACACCACAGCCAGATCCTCAACACACTTTTCACCCAGATATAAACACCTGGCAAAACCTAACCCCACCCAAACCTGCTGCCCAGTCTCTGAACCCAACCCATACAGCTGAGTCCTGCCACAGACAACTTGGCTTCTAATCTGGAGTGAGGGATCTGCATGGACAGACACTCCATGGTAAGCCACACAACCCACTGGATTCCCTGAAAGGCATTTTCAGTTCCTCTCTGTCCCTAGCTCCTCTCATGCTTGGTTGGCAAAGTCAATATCAGGTAGTCCACCCACCTGTGTCCCCAGCGTTCTTTTTCACATATCATCCAATCTTCCTCCACTCCTGGCTCATACTTTCCAAAACGCTCAGCCCACCAGCTCCCCTCCGGGAGCCTTCTGGATGTCCCATGTTTTGGCCTCTCCCTGTCCAGTCAGTACCTTTGACTTCCTGTGGGCACCCAACCTAGTTCTATGAACTCCTCCATAGGACCTCAGCCCCGGACACAGAATAGGCACCAAAAGTGGGCTCAACTGAATTTCTGGAGTTCCAAACGTCTCTATTCCGTTGTGACTTTTGGAGAATCCTTAATTGTAGTCTTAAAGCAAAGCCCCATCTCATGTGATAAAAACGACCACTGCGTTCTTTAAGTGAGGAAAGCCACAGTTGCTTTCAGTGTCACAAAAAACCCCAACTCCAAGACCTGTGCGGGTCCAGGAGAGATCCAGTCCCTCCCCTCCCAGCCCACGTGAGTCATCTAGGTCCCTCCCCTTAGGCCGGGCTTTCCAGATCCTGATCCTCTCCGCTACGTTCTGCGCAAGCCCGAGTCTTAGGCCCCGCCCCGCCCCGCCCCCAGTCTGATTATCTTTCCTGGAGAACCTGAACGACCATGGTGAATTTGGGCCTGTCCCGAGTGGATGACGCGGTGGCCGCCAAACACCCGGTGAGAAGGCTGGCCTGGGGTGCTGGATCTAGGCTTCCGAAGCTGATCTTAAGGAGACTACCAGCCACGGGAGCTCCGTCAGGGAGTGGCGGAGGGAGGATCCTCCTGCCATAGGAATAGAGATGCTGAATGAGTTTAGGGGAGGGTGGGATATATCCAGTCCCCAGTGTTCCTCGCCAAGGCTAGGTCGTGCCCAAAGGAGGAGCCGGAGGGAAGGAGGAAAGGAAACTGAGCCATGAACAACACCCCTATCCCAGGGACTCGAGGAATATGCCGTGTGCCAGTCGAACGCCTTCATGAAGGGCGTTTTCACCTTTGTCACAGGTAGGCTGGTTCCAGGGCTCTTGGGGAGCAAAAAGAACACAGCTTAAAATTGTAACCTACTGCCCCACCGTGTGTGCCCAGAAGGTGGCGCCAAGTCATCTTGCTTGCACTGCAGGTGCAGTAGGCACCAAGACCACCACCCTGCAGGGTGACCAATGGTTCCTTGGCTCTTGGCAGGCACTGGTGCGACTTTCGGTCTGCAGCTGTTCATTAAGCGGAAGTTTCCGTACCCTGTGCAGTGGAGCTTCCTGGTGTCTGCCGGTGAGTACTCCATGGTGGGTGCATAGGCCCTAAAGTGCATCAGTTACCAGGGACTCTACAACGTTGGTATGTTTCCAATAAGGACCCGACTGTGATCCAGTCCCAGTTTTGGCTGGAGCCCACCCACCCTGTCTGTCCAGAAGGAGCTTAGCCAGATCCTGTGTGAAAAGCTTAGAGGCTAAGGTCCCCAACTCACCACCCTCCTGCTCCCTGCTCTCCAGTTGTAGGGTCCCTGGCCAGCTACAAGGTGACAAGGACAGAGTCTCAGAAATGCAGAGATCTCTGGCTCTTCCTGGAGACAGGGCAACTCCCCAAAGATATGAGCACAGGTAAGAGGGCCCCAGAGGGGCAGCACGGACTTTCAGGAAGACAAGCCCACGAGACTCAAATGATATACTGCTCCCCTTCCCTCCAGCCAGTCTTGTCTTCCATTTGAGGGGCTGAGGCTAGGAGAGGTCACAACAAGGACTGAGCAGTGAATTCCCTGGAGGAAGACCCAGGAAATTAAGACAGGGCACAGCAGTTAAACCGACAACCCAAAAAAGAGTGTCTAAGACTGAGACCCTGGATCTGAGGGACCTCAGGCCTGCTTGCCCTTGCTTATTTTGTTCATCTGAGAAAGGGTCCATAGTCCAGGCTGGCCTTGAATTCCTGCTTCTACCTCCTAGGTTTGGGATTATAAGCCTGTGTAACCACATCTGACAGGAGCTGCTTTTGTCATGACAGATCAGAGTCAGGGACCCTCAAAAACCACAGACCTTAATCCAGCTGTCTCCCTTTGTCTCTTACAGATCATCGAAACTAGAAGAGCTCTGGCTGCTGGGGTATAGAGGATCTGACACAGGGAAAATCCTGGAGCACAGACTTTGACACCATCTAACTCCAGGCTGTTCCTTCCTATCTCACCACACACACACACACACACACCCTTGAGTGTCACCTGTCCTCTACACATGTGTATGGGCAGGCCTACCTGACAACCTGTGATACCATTGCTGCCCCAAATCCAGGACTTTCCAGGAGTTCAGTTTAGAGCTTGGGAAGACAGGGTCTCCTCCAGAGCAGCAAGAAGCAGAATATCAGAGAGGGTTTTACCCTGTTGCACACAGCTGTGGGGGCGGCAGACTGCAAGTGTTGAAAGAGATTTGTATCTTTTCTCTGGTGCTTTGAGGTCCCTTTTCTGACCTCTGTGACTCAAGTCTAAGGATAATTATGGAGGGTTGTGGCTAATAAATGGCTTGTCTTTTCCCTACCTGAGTTCTAACTCAATTAAACAAGAGTTGGTGAGGTTGTTCAGTGAGTAAAGTACCTGCTGCTAAGTCTGGTGACTGAGTTTCATCCCTAAGAACCACAATCTCTTCTATGGTACATGGGTTCCCATTACACATGCACAGGAACACATGAACTAATAAATAAATAAATACAGGTATAATATTAAAAAGAAAGCCTGGGTGGTGGTGGCATACGCCTTTAATCCCTACACTCGGAAGGCAGAGGCAGGCAGATCTTTGAATTCAAGGCTGGCCTGATCAACAGAGCGAGTTCTAGGACAGCCGAGGGCTACATAGAAAAACCCTGTCTGGAAAAGCCAAAAGAAACAAAAAGTGTAGAGGGTGAAAAGATGTGTCCATTAGCTGACAGTGGAGGACAGGCAAAAGTCCTAATGTAGAACAGCTCCAGAACCAGATGTTCCTTCCAGCCATCTAGACCATGCAGTTACATCAATGCCTCTCTTCCTGCAAGCCTGGATCAGAACAGAGGTAGGAGCTGCCAGAGTCCAGGCAGGGGCATGAGTCATGCCTACCGCCTACCTGCTTGGCCTCAGTGAAGCTCCTTCTCCAAGAAGTAACAAGCAGCAGAGCTCCAAAGGAAATGGCTGGGGAGTAAGACCACCCATACCAACCAGATCCATTAAAAAGAATAGAGATGGTCCCTTGGCATTATAGGAGCACAAAGAATTGGCCTTGGCCTGCTCCTACACCTCTACAGAGCTTGTCAACTGGATGCCTATGAGAACAAAATGGTGGGCAGTGGCAGTAAGACTCACATAGTAGAAACTTGAGCCTAGTTAGTTTCCTTGTAGAAATCTAGGCAGGTGGTCTGTCAGTGTTTGTGCCTTTGCCAACAACATACCACAGACTTGGGCAGATTATAATAATAATACTAAAAAACATGTTTTAGCCCATGGCTCTGGAGGCCCAAGGCCCAACAGCCATTTGGTGGCGGTTGTCGTTCAGGTAGAGTCCAGAAACATCACAGGTCACATGGCCAGAAAGAGAACGTGTATGTTGCTTCCTCTTCCTCTGAACCATCAAGGTTTGGCCATGGTGGCTCTACCCTGGTAACTTAAATTCTTTTCATCTCTCAAAAGCCCTGCTTTGAATGACACAGTCCTGTTTTCTACCCTCTTAAAACCTCACAATGGGGTAGGGGTGGGGGTAAACTCCAGCATGAGCTTTGGAGGACAAGCCATCTTCAGCTCTTTTGGGGTCAGGGACCCAGGCTTCCCTCAATCTCTTCCCTGTTGTAATGGCCTCCACTTCCCTCCAGCTCTGCCTACTACATCTTCATCCCCTTTAACAGAAAGAAAAAAGGGAGAGGAGGACAGGTCTTTCACCACAGCTGTATACACTACTGGCCAGAGCTAAGACACATGGTACATCTACTGAAAGGAAACTCGGGAAGGCAGCCTTGCTCAGGACAGCCATTTGTCCCACTAAAATTCAGGAGTTCTGTATCTGAGGGAAAAGAGTCAATACTAGGGGATAGAAGTTGGCTCTGAAGCAAAAGCCAGGGAGGTAATGTGAGCAGCCATGACCATAGGGTCATGAGAATGAGGCATAGACCAGAAGGGAGGTAAGGGGTAAACACAGAGTTTAGACTGGAAAGGAGTGTCTAAAAGGTAAGGGATCTGTGTGAGAAGACATATGAAGATATAGACACTAATGTATCCTGTGTTATACACATGGCCTGACTACATACCCCCCCCCCAATTCATATACTGAAGCCCTAACCCATAGGACCTCAGAAGGCAACTACTGGAGAGGAGCCCTTTAATGAAGTGATTAGGGCTAACTGATGTTATGGGAACTAATCAGTCTTTCTGGCATCCTTATAAGAAGAGACTGGGACACAGATGGGCACAGAGGGACAACCACATGAGATCACAGGAACAGAAAGCATTGACAGCCGGGTGGAAACTCAGCAGAAGAACCAGCCATGCAACACCCTGACCCAGCCTTCTATTCCCAGACTGAAGAATAAATCCCTGAAGAGTAAGCTCCCCACTGATACTTAGTTATGCAGACCCATGCAGACTCGGTTGCAGAAAGTGTCTGCTCACATACCCCATGGTGTTCTGGGTTGCTGATTGCTCCTGGCACACTGCTCTAAGGGAAGGGATAGGGTGTAGATGTATGGACTTGTCCCTGCCAATGACTTGTGACTCGAGGTCCCGGGAGCTGAGGGATGTGGGAGCCAAGCAGGGTGGTACCAGATAGGCACAGTTCTGGGAAAGTTGGAAGAGATAGAACAGGGATGGGCAGAAACTGGTGTGGGATGCCAGGTCACCCAGTGCCTGGGCTTTGAACTAGAAGTATGGGCTGAAGAGAGAGGTCTCGCCAAGCACTGACATTGACGTTAGATGTGGGAGGCACAGTCAAACTGCTTTGTGGCTCTAGGAGCAGGGGAGGGAACAGGAAAGAGGGGGTGCTGGGTGAGGTGTTGTATTAAACCATCACAAATTGCCCACCACTACCCAAAGGCCTCTGGAGCTCCTGAATCAGCAGTCTCAAGACTCATTTCCCTTAGGGCAAGCACCCAGAGGTGACCCTGAGGACGGATTCTGGAATGATGGAATTTCAGGGTTCCTGGGGCATTGAGAATCTTGGTCTCATCACAATGACCTGAAATTCCAAGGACAATCTCAACCTGGGCTCAGTTGAGCAGGCAACTGCACAGGGAGGGTGAGAGGCACATAGTACCCTGGAGGACCGTTAGGCCCACCATGAAGATTCACAATGAAGCAGCTGTGGAGGCACAAATACAGGAGCTAAGGACCATCACTCGGCTGCAGGGTGAGCATCATCCTGAGGATTGCCACCCACCCAGGCCCCCAAAGTGGGCAAAGGTCACAGAAGGGTCTGCCACGTTGAGGGGAGCTTCAAGGAGACTTGTGCATTTACCACAATATTGTCCCAAAGTTGGAGAGGTCGAAAAGGGGATCTGCCTGTTTCTGGGCACAGGAGCTCTGAAAGAGACAGGGTTCCTGGTCTTGGCCTCACCCTCTTTACTGCCCAGCATCCATCTCTGGAGAGCCTTGCAGATTACCGCTTTGAGCAAGGAATCCTGTGTCTTTCAGAACAGGGAGGGGGAAGAGGGGGGAAATGGTCACAGAGGCAATGCCGCATTCCACTAGCCTCTCTGGGTATTTTGCCAAGATTGGCCTACTGCCTGGTAATCTTGTTCCCGCTGTCACCTACAGAACAATGTCGGGCGCTCCAGATCCAGGGCGTGAAGGAGAAGACAGCACAGAACAAGGCTACACTGGGCCTCCTGCGCAGCAACCTCCGTCGAGGGGCCCAGGACTGGGCTTTGGCTAAGAAGGTGAGAAAGCCTCACCCCCTTAGCAGTCTGGAGAATAGGAGGTGGTCGCTCAATTAACACATGCACATACCCTACCCCTTTCTCTGGACCAGAAAGCCTACTTGGATGAGTACCTTTGAGACTGGTGCCTAGGGCAGGTTCCCCAACACCCACCCAGAATGCTTAGCATCTGCAGCAGGCACTTCTTGAGCTCTCTGACCTCCTTACCGAACCCCATCACAGTGGAGTAGGAATGTCCCTGGAGTGGATCCTGTGCGCTCTGCTCAGGCGTCCCAGGACCAAAGGTCTCCTTGCTGGGCTAGCAGCGCTGAGGGGATATTCCTGAGTTATCAGTGCCAAGGGGAACGCAAAAGGGCCAGGTTCTCGGCTCAGTTAACACCTCTCCACAGTATGATCAGTGGACCATCTCCAAGGCCTGCGCGAAGGATGCATCCATGAAGCTGGCACACTGCCGCAGTACTATGGAGGTAACGAGGCGGGGGTGGGGGGTGGGGGGAGTGGACGACACACGGACCAAAAGGATTGATTACTCGCCCCTCTCAGCCCCAGTCCCTGAGGCTTGCCCACAGTAAATGTTGCCTCTTAGTGCGTCAGAGGGCGAAGGAAAGCGAAGCGCGCGTTCCTTCCTCTTGCTCCCTATGGGGTAGCCGCGGATCCCCGCGGAGCTCCCTCTTGCACCCACACGAGGGCGCCCTTCCGGACCCAGGTGGCTCGGGAGAAGCTGCGAAAGTACGTCTTCGATCGTGTGAATGCACACAACGTGCTGATCCATCTGGCTCGACGACGGGGACAGAAGCTGGAGAGCTTACAGCTGGAACTGGCCAGCCTGCGGAACCAGCCTGATGCTACTAAGGATGAGCTAAAGCTGCTGCAGGTGCCCGGGTACCAGGGCGGAGGCAGGGCTCCGGCTGTGCGCTAGAGCTTCCAGGAGGGGTGGGACTCAGCGACCAAGATTCCGAAAGTGTGGTTCTACGCCAGCCAGAGGATGTGGAGATTCTATAACAAGGACAGAATCTCACCTTCAGACAGGGGACCCTGTATTAGGGCTGGACCACTTATTAGGCAGGGTTCTGCGGGAAGGGCGACTCCTTTGCTGAGGGTCTTTGTAAGACAAAAACACTTTAGCCAGTGAAACTGACCTCCAGTGGAGGGTGAGACCTCCAGATGGGCAAGACCTTTTGGTTAGTCTGCGCCCTTACATGGCTGTGTACAAACAGGACAACTTACTGACAAGGAGTGGGAAACCGATGCCCTGAGGTAGGTTTATCACACAGCTGTAAACATGAAGTTGGGAAGCAAAGCCATTTTATACATGGTGACTGGGTGGTGGGTAAGAGCTTCAATAATGACTTCACCTGCTGGGCCTCGTGGCAGGGGCAAGACTAGGGGAGCACAACACCCTTGTGTGAAAAGCCCAGCCTCCCACTCCCTTCCCCCACCCCGTGCCCTCCTGTGCAGGACTCTGCCTCTTCACACCTGACCTGAGGTTTCCAGGAGGTGGGTCTTGTCACCAAGCCTTTTCAGTGATCCAACTCCACCACTACCATCAGATTATCCGCCAGCTGGAGAACAACATCGAAAAAACCACGATCAAGATCACCACCAGCCAGAACATTCACATGTTGTACACAGACCTGCTGGATTATCTGAAGAAGGTGAGCCCCACTTCCCAAGCAGCCCACAAAGAGGCCCTAAAAGTATGTGGAAACTTTCCTTAGAGAACTTCATTTTTGTTACTCCACATGAGCATATTATGGTGTGCACCTGTTATTTGGGCTTAAACTTGGGCATGGTAGCACAGGTCTGTGATCTTATCACTCAAGAGGCTAAGATGGGAAGATCACAGATTCCAGGACAGCCTGGGATACACAGTGAGACCCTGCCTCATAAACAGATAGATGCAAATCATCATCATCAACACACACACACACACACACACACACACACACACACACACACACACCAGAATTCTTTCTTTCACATATTTAACAGTTTAATTTGGGTCCTTGAGAGCCAAAGATGGGCCATACTCCCCTCCTAGGAGGTCCCCTAACATGGTTCATGTTAGACTCCTTTCACACAGCTTCCTGCCCACTTTGGATCTGGTTACCCTGCTTTCTGTATTGGAGGCAGATTTTGGCTCATGTAAGTCCTAGGAAACTATAATTGTGAATCTCGCAGGCACACTCTCACTATGGCTCCCATAGAGCAGAGCATCTGTAGTGGAAGTGGGGGAGAAAGGGCTTCAGGGCAGCAGGGTACTGAAAGCAGCAGTGAATCTTACCTCCCCTAAGAAGGGGAGGTAAATGAGTGGCGTAGCATTGCTGCAGAGAAAGAGCTGGTGAGTGGGCAGATGTAGCAGCTTCTCCCTGCCAGGGTCATATCCGTGAGCCAGGATCTCAGCATCATGCTCAGGTCTGTCCCTCTTACTGACCCTAGCGCTGCAGGCTCAACTGGAGGCCCTGCCCACTATTCAATCCCTCCCCACACTCTTTCACTGGGTGTTCTTCGTAGAACTTTCTTTCCAGAACAAACACACTTGAAACAAATCCCCATATCCACATTTTTTTTAAAATCAGCAAAGATTCAGCATGTACAGATTTTAACAGCAAAATATCAACAGCTAGGCCTCCTTGTCCACCGATGCACCTAGCCTTGTGCTAAATATGCTATCATACTTCTCCATCCATCCTAACAGAAACCTTCCAAAAAAGTAAGGATCACCTTAGAAAGGCTCGGTGTGATCCCAAGATCACATAGCTAGCTGGTTAGAAGTGAATTTCACTTTGAACCCTATCCAGCTCCAAGTCCATCTTTCAGGTCACTTTGTTCCATTTCAAACCAAAGATGCCCCAGAGCAAACCCTTCTGGGTTTCAGAGTTGGCCTGTGCTGAGGTGCAACACTGAGTCATTGTATCTCCTTGTCCTGGGTAGTCAGAGTTCATAGATCACCAATGACTATCCATACTAGAGCACTTCTTTCTCCTGTGACTTTCCCAGAGGCTGAGCCACTGACAGAACCCCTATCCTGTCCCCAGGGCTCACACAGTCTGGGATTGAAGGATGGGAGAAATTCAGAGAGCTCAGGGAAGCCAGCAATAGGGTATGATGGCACCAAAGGAAGCTGTAGCTTCATTATCACTTTGCCTTTGCCCATCCTGACAGGTTCTGGCAGGCTACCCCACAGAGCTAGACAAGCTTCAGAACCTGGTGTCCAACTACTGCTTGGAGCTGTCAGATATGACAGTCATGTCCCAAGATGCCATGATGATTACTGATGAGGTCAAGGTGAGTCCCAGGATTGGGGAACCATCAATTTCTGGCTCACCTGACCCTATCTTGTTCAAGATCTATCTGCATATCCTATGCCTATACTACCCATCATTCCTGGAGAAATCCATTCTCAGCCCTACCTGCTGATCTGCTCACCCATGGGACAGAGAAAGTCATTTGGGAACAGAGGCCATAATGTGACCAGGACAGTGGGCATCTATTCACCTTGTCACTACCAGAATCCCTGTCTCTAGGGAGACAGGACTAGGGGGTCAGCAAGCCCCATCCTCCTGAAGTGGGCAATTCATCTAGTAGCCCACCACATCATATCTCAGCCAGTATGGCAGAAAGAGGCAATGGGTTTCAGAAGTCTCTAGGGTGGCTTTCCAAGAAAATATGCTTGAATGGGCTCTGAATGGCCACAAAGTCCAGGGGTAATCAGAGCTCAGGAGAAAGGACAGAAAAGCCAAGGCTGTTGCCACATGTGAGTGCACAGAGATGGACATAGCTGCATGAGTCAGTGGCAGATATGGGGTCCTCAGGCTTACTGCCTCTGAGAAGATAGAGGGACACATGAGCAGACAGAGTTTTATGCTGGGCATGGTGGTACACAGTTTTGATCCCAGCCCTTGAGAGGCAGATCTCTAAGTTCAAGGCCAGCCTGGTCTACAGAGTGAGTTCCAGGGCAGCCAGGGCTACACAGAAAAACCCTGTCTTGGAAACAAGCAACAAACAAAACAACCACCACAGATTGTATTTTATAGTGGCACACATTAACTGCAGGTGCCAGAAGGTGCCGGAGCAGAACTACTGGCTGTGTGGCCAGTAGTATAGTGGGGGTGGCCAGGTGCAGACAGGGCAGGGAAAATTTTAAGGGGACACCGCAGTAAGCTTTAGTGATAGGAGTGTTGTGAGAGAAAGAAAGCATAAGCAAGGAAGGAGGGATGATAGTTTTCAGCCACAAAAGCAGAGTGGAGGAGAGACCAGGTTTGAGAATAAAGGGGATGGATTGCTTTTAGATGTGTTAAATTCAGTTTAGTGGGTTCTAGGTGGAACAGGCCAGGAAGCAACTAAAGGCAAGGGACTAGAGGAAAGGAGAGAGCCTGGGCTGGAGGGAAATGTCAGTAGGCATGTGTTAGCCAGGAATCTGCAAAAGGGCACCCAAGACAGTGGAGCCAAAAGAAAAGAATAGCCAGCTTTCTTCCACAGTCCAGTAAGATGAAGACTAAAAACTGGCCACTGGCTTTAGGACCCTGGGAGGACCCTTGGTGAGACAGTATCCCCACTGAATCTCTATGTCACAGAGGAACATGAGGCAAGGGGAGGCAACTTTCATCGAGGAGCGAAGGGCACGGGAGAACCGGCTGAATCAGCAAAAGAAGCTTATTGACAAGATCCACACCAAGGAGACCAGCGAGAAGTACCGCCGTGTACATCCTGAGCCAGCCCCTTGGCAGCCCTCACCCATTGGTGGAAGAGCGGGGGAGAATCCTTCACTTCTCATTCTCACCTGGCTCTTTTTCCCATCAGGGCCGGAGGGACCTAGATTTCTCCTCCAATCTAATGAGTATGGAGACCATGAAGGGTGAGTCTCAGCTCTTTGCCTTGTCCAGCCAGGGTCTCTAGTAACCAGCAATGACTGGAACTGCCCAGCCAGGTCACCATGAGGCCAGTGGTCACTAGGGTGAGGAAGACAAACAGCCCCTGCCTCTCCCTGACTGTACCTGAAGAATCTGACAGCCTATGGCACAAGGTGGCTGCAGAGATGCTATCTCTAGCAACTAGAGCTCAATCATCCAGTGACATCTCAGAACTGCTTCCCAAAGCCACATGATGCCATGCTGCTCCTGGTCCTTGTCTGTACTTGAGTTTCCCAAGGTACTGAAGGGTCAGGCTGAGGAGAGCAGGTATAGGTACCACATGAGGGTACCCAACATCCTGGGTGTCTTCTTTGAAGCCTGAGTGTCTATAGAGCCATCAGGTAGTCACTCTTGCATACTGACTAGGCCCTCCCTCTCTACTCTGTCCAGTGAGGAAAAGAGAAACTTCCATAGCAGATATGGAATACCAGACTGAAGTTACTACTTTGGTAGAGAGGGTCAAATCTGCTGTGCAGTGCTCCCACCTCTGGGTAAGTCTCCCTGACCCTTGGAAGGTGACTAAGCTAGGCTAGAGCCTGGGGTGCTCTGCAAAAAGTTCACAAAACTTAACCTCCCCGTTGGAGGTACCCAAACATGATGCTCCCAATCCTGGAAAAAGTCTTTTTTTTTTTTCTTTCTTTCTTTTTGAGGTATGAAGATACCTCCAGCATATGAATGGCATGTCCCAACCATATTCTATGTACAGGAGAGAGTCTGCCAAAATTTTAAAGTCCAAATGCTAAGGACCTGGCCTCTCACCACAGCTCTAGTCCCTTCCCAACTTGGCAGCCACAGTAAGCAGCTGCTTCTGCTGGCCTCCTTTTGTCACAGACCTACCTGAGTTACCACTGTCAGTCCTTAAGCTCCCATCCACAGCATCTTGACTGAAGGTGATACAAGGTCTCTTCATGGTAGATGTGGTTACTTACCCTCTGCCTCATGAAAGCTATGTATCAGGACATGTACAGGCTACCCCTCTGTCCAGCCCTTCATAAACCTTAGTTGCCACAAGTATTCAGTGTTATGACTGAGCCCTAAGTAACAAGAAGCTGCACTATCCGTTGGGAAGAGCTATGAGACCCTACTACCTTTCAGGCCCACACCTGTTTCTCTCTGCCCTGGACTGGTTAGGACATAGCTGGCCGCTTTCTGGCTCAGAAGAACACAGAGGAGAACCTGGAGCTACAGATGGAGGACTGTGAAGAACGTCGGACACAGTTGGAGGCCCTGATGAAGAAGCTGGAGCTTGAAGAGGCACTGCTCAAGTTCCACCAGACACCCAGCTCTGTTGGGTATGCTCCTGGGCTGCTGGATGGCCCCACAGATACAAACCAGTAGCTGCATAAACCTGTGCATCTGCAGAAGAGCTAAGGACCCACCTGCTTGAAGCTGAATTTATGAGCCCCTGAAGTTGACACAAGACCTGGCTCAGGGCCCCTGTGGGCCCTGAGTACTATATCCCATCCTTACTGCTGCTGTGCCTACCTCCTCCACAGCTTTAGTTCTATTGAAAAAAAGATGAAGACCATGCTGGAAGAGGAAGAAGCAAGGCTCCAGCTGGCCCACAACAACATGACCAAGAGCCAGCAGCTGTTCCTGGCCATCCAGACAGGTATTGACAACCTCTACATCCGGCTCATCGGCATCATCTTGCCAGCCACCCAGGTACCAGCCCTGGGATGGGGAGCTGCTGTGCATAGGGTCTTCATGTGGACTTACCAGAAAAACAAGCTGCCCCTCTGGCCTACAGAAAGAAGTAGCAATCTCTGACACCCTTGATGTGTACGGCAAGCTGGAGTATTGCGAGGGAAAGCTCATATACCTGGCTGACCGCATGCAAACGCTGTCCAGAAATGAGGAGGTAGCCCTGGGCCATGGAGGGGTATCTGCAAAGCCCATGTCCTCTCCAAGCTGATAAGGGTTCTGCCCTGCAGGTGGACACAAAGGTGAGGGATGCCCTGGAGTCATCAACTCTAAAGGAGAAACATAATACCAGAATTACCTTTGAGGACCAAGAGGAGGACATGATAGGTGAGGCCCTAGATATCAACCATAAGGAGGAGATGGAGAAGGGGGAACAGAGACCACAGCTGGAACTAGATAGTGTCTGAACTCAAGTCAAGAGATGGCATTCACTCTGCCTGACTCCAACACACTGGCAAACTGGGTGGGTGCTAAAGGGAAAGTTTTGTTTGTTTTTGAGACAGGGTTTCTCTGTGTAACAACCCTGGCTGTCCTGGAACTAGCTCTGTAGACCAGGCTGGCCTCAAACTCACAGAGATCCACTTGCCTCTGCTTCCTGAGTGCTGGGATTAAAGGCATGAGCCACTACTGCTGGGTTAATAGAGGTGACAGAGGTTAACCTTTAGGAGAATTTATTGTCTTTTCTGAGACAAAGGAGCATGCCATGGCATCGGCCAGAAGGGAGCCCGGAACAGGCCTTTAGTGGAATTTCTCCTGCAAAGGCAGGGCATAGTGAACGGAGAAGGATGGCTAGTGTGGGTGATCTTGGCAAATGCTGGTTCCTTGGCACCTGGCCTTGGGTGACTTAGGGCAGATCACAGAGTCTTCAGTCATCGGTCCATCTCTGAGATGAGTTCCAGACACAGGAGAAGGCCCATGGCAGCAAAAGCAAATGGTAAAGGGGACTGGGGGCAATGTCTCTGAAAAGAGGGAGCCGTCACTCCTTTCTTACCTGTGCAGAAACCTTCCAGTTTGCGGACGTGGACCATAGCTACGTCCCTTCGCGGGCCGAGATAAAGAAACAGGGTCAGCGACTGATTGAGGGGAAGCTCAAGGTATCCAAAAAGAAGAAGAAGTAGCCCTGTCCGGACTTTACTACACAAATAAACATTTATGCATTACTACTCTAGAGAAACAAGAAACCGCCTGACTTTGAGGGCAGGGAGGCGGGGCTTGGACGGGGAGTGAAGGGGAGGGGCTGCTCGAAAGGGGTGGGATCTAGTGAGCCCGCTGCGCATGCGGCGTCTACGTGTCCCTTTCTGCGCTCCGTAGCCGCGTCGGCGCCAAGATGGCGGCGCTGACGGGTGCTTGGCCGCTCCGCCGAGGACCGCGGGAGCAGGAGCGGAGCTACAGAGGCTGAGGCCCCAGAGCCTCGCTCGAGGCCGCTCCCACCGTCGGGCCTCAGCTTGTGGCCGCGCCTGCTCCTGCTTTGGGGAGAAGCTTGGGCCGGCCGGACATGGTGCGAGGCGCGCTGCGCTACTGCTGCTACCGCTGAGCTCGCGGGCCGCGCCCGGCTCGCACGTCCAGCAGAAAGATGTTCTCGGCGTTGAAGAAGCTGGTGGGGTCGGAGCAGGCCCCGGGCCGGGACAAGAACATCCCCGCAGGGCTGCAGTCCATGAACCAGGCGCTGCAGAGGCGCTTCGCTAAGGGGGTTCAATACAACAGTGAGTGCGGGCCGCGCCGTCGGGCAGGCCGGGGTGGCTGGAGGTGCCTGGGGCATCCACCCAGCCCGAGAGAGCCTGGGAGAACCAGAGGACCGGGGTGGACGGGGTCCCTGGGCTCTGAATAATGGTCGCTCCTTGAGGGTCGTCACCCACAGGAGACCTGCAGAGAAGAGCTGTGCAGCGGCACTGGTAGCACTGGCGGAGCAGCGGTGGAGGACCCTGATTGGTGCGGGTACCCTGCCGAAAGAGACCATTACATAACGCGAGGGTGCGCGCGCGGGTCTGTGGCTAGCGGCTCCGTGCCGCCTGCCTCCCCTCCCGACCCCAGCGCGTGCCCACACTTGAGGCACACTTGAGATTTTTGTTGTTGTTGTTCACTTCGAAGCCAATTTGCAAACAATATCCACCATACCACACGTTCTCTCCCCCCCCTTTTTTTTTTTTTTGAAGAAGGGTTTTGTAAACAATATATTTTTAAAAGTTCCAAAAGGCACTAACTGCATCCTTGGCCCTACAGGAAGAAAGGCCCGATCTACCCTTCGTTATAAATTATGTATGCATGCAGCTAGAAGCATACCGTCCTCTTGACCTCTTTAGAGTTTTTCCATTTGGAGGTTCTTCTCTAGGCAATCCCCTGTTTCGACACTGTTTACTTCTCAACTATTTGTACATTGTTAGTCTTTTGACTCACACCCCCCAACACACACTGCTCACTTTAATACGTGTCTTATAGGGTCAGTGGTATTTGGGTGATATTGTAACATTATGAAACGTATTAGGATTTTGAACACATTCTGAAACAAGCACTTCATATGTGTTAACTTGAAAGTTTGTATTTCTCTTGAATCTACAGAAGAGAATATTGAGTAGAAATATTCAGAGGTTTGTGTTCTTTGGCATCTACATTGGGATTCCTTATTTAGTTTTATATAGTATTGAAACCTAATCCTAGGTTTAGGTATGAACTGGAAGTTTCTCACTTTTTAAGCCTGCTCCCTACTGGACTGGCCCCCTGGTGGTCCTGATAGGAGGGACCCAGAAGAGCTGGTCTTCCATATTTTCCGAAATCTTTTAGAGAAACGAACCAGCCATATAATAAGTACAGATGCATAATTCTTTAAGAGGCACAGTTAACTTGATGCTTTCCAAGCACTGAATTTTCTGTTACAGAATGCAGTCCTCCAGGGACACAATCCTTTTTCTTTTAAATGTGTCAGAATAGCAAACTCAGACATGGTGCCTACTATGCCTTTAATCCCATCACTTGGGAAGCAGGGACAGGAGGAAAGAACAAACTCCAAGAATTCTAGCGTTTTAACACACCACACAGATCACCACATCATTGTGAGCTGTCTGAATTTCAAAAACAAAAAGAAGAAACTACAGCCAGAGTGAAGTGACCATATTCTAAGGAGTAGCATTGAGCTAACAACCCACCTGGGATTCCACACACTTATGCCAGAGTGCTGCTGTACTCATATTCAGTGTATGATTGGCAGCTTGCTGAGCAAAGGTTCTTATAAAAGTAAATACTAAAGAGTGTTCTTTAGATAAATGGAATTTAAGCTGAAATGGTAGGCATGGGATTTTAAAAAAAAAAAAAAAAAGCAAAGGAAGAGTCCATATGTGTTAAGCCCTAAATAAGCAGTGATTATATTAGTCACTGGTAATAGTGGTTTTTATGAGCATTCTTTTTTCTTTTTCACAATACTGAAATAGTTGGAGTTAGCCCCTAATGCAGAATAGAGTTGATCAGAGTTAAGGCATTCACATTTGCAGGGGAGGTGTCTAAGACAGGATATTACTATGTATGTAGTTTTGGCTGTTCTGGAACTCACTATGTAGACCAAGTTGGTCTCAAACTTATGGAGACCTATCTGTCTTTGCCTCCCAGATGCTGAGATTAAAGGGGTGCACCACTACAGCTGGCATGTTATTCAGAAATTTAACTTTAGACTATATTAAAGTAAATGTGAATGTTAAAAAGTATATTATAACTCTTCCAACTATATGCCATGCAAAATGAGGAAAAGTTTTGCCCAACTTAATAAAAGGCAAAATTGGCTAGGAGAAAACTACAATAGTAACTAAAAAAAAAAAAAAATACTATTTTAGCCAGGTGATGGTGGCACACACCTATACCCTACACTCAGGAGGCAGAGGCAGGCAGATCTCTGTGAGTCCAAGCCTGGTCTATAGAACAAGCTCCAACATAGGTTCCAAAGCTACAGAGAAACTGTGTCTGGAGAAAACTAAAACAAACAAACCTATTTTAAGAATTTTATTGGAGGGATGTGCAGGCCTTGGTGTGCATGTGGCAATCAGAGGACAGCTTGCAGAAATTAGTTTTCTCCTGCCATGTGACTCCTGGGGATCAAAATAGGGTTGTTAGGCTTGTTGGCAAGGGCCCTTACCTACTAAGCCATTTAGCCAATCTCTCTTCTCCTTTCTACCTCCTGCTCCTCCTCCTTTTCCTTCTTTTTTTCCGTTATTGGAGATTGAGTCTAGGTTCCCGCTCAGCTAGTACACTACTATTGAGCTATATCCCCAGCTCCTAAAAAACTATTGAATAACTCCATTTCTATCAGCAGTCATAATGCAGTCAAGAAATTTGGTGAGAAAAAAAGTTCTCCAATTGGGCCATATGGTCTTTGAAAGCTACATTTAGAATATAACAGCAAAGGGTTGGAAGAAAAAGTTGGAAAAGGAAACTTGACAGAAGACTGCCCAACTATGGCCTAGTCACCTGTAGCTGCAGTAATGTCATGCAGCATACGCTTTGAGGTGAAGAGAATGGGTTGTGGTAAGGGAGGTAAGAGTGTGTATTCTGTTTTTATTTTGATTTGCTTTGTTTTGTTTTGAAATAGTGTTACTATTCTGCTCAAACTGTTGAACTTATTTATGTGCTCAACTGGCCTTCCTATATCAGTGTCCTGAGTAGCTGAGACTATAGGCACCTACTGCTACTCCCAAGTCTCGGGTTTCTTATTCTCCTCAGTTGCTATACATGGGACGATGAAAATGTAAAAAGTAAAAGTTTAGCATTCAGGCAGCAGAGGCAGGCAAAACTGTGAGTTTGAGATCAGCCTGGTCCACTTTAGCTCTGGAAAGACGGGAGAGGCATATAGAGATGCAGTTCCTGGCCAGCTGGCCTGTTGCTTGTGGCAGCATATCATTGTGGGAATGCATGGTGAAGCAAGACCACTCAGCTTGTAGCAGCCAGTATGTACTGTAGGGAGAGAACCCAAGTCCCACTATTGCCTTCAAGGCATTGCTTCAGACCCCCACATCTTTTTTTATTTTAGCCTGTATGATGTGTGGTTTATCTGCAGGGATGTCTGTGTACCACATGCTCATTTAATGTCTGTTGAAGCCTGAAAAGGGCATCGGATCCCCTGAAACAAATTAGGGGCAGTTGTAAACTACCATGTCAGTGCTGGGAATTGAAGCTGGGACTTGTAGAAGAGGCTTTTAACTACTGAGCTATCTCTCTAGCCCCAGGTCCCACAATTTAAAGGTGATTTACCAGCATCATGTTAGGACTAAATAGGCTAGAATTGGGGGGGGGGTGTTAAGATCCAGATGGTAACAAGTTCCAAATAGTACTTTCAGTGGAGAAATTACTTGGAAATTAGAAAGTACTTTCAATGGGTGTGGTGGTCCCATGGGCCTTTGATCCCAGCATTGCAGAGGATCTCTACAACTAATTCCAGGCCAACCAAGTCTTCATAGAGAGACTGTCTCAAAAAAAAAGGTGTGTGTGTGTGTGGGGGGGGGGTGTCTGGAGAGATAGCTTAGGGGTTAAGACACTGGCTGTTTTGTTCATAGGACTCAGGTTCAGTTCACAGTACCCACATGGCAGCTCACAACTGTTTATAACTTCCTCTCCTTAAGATCCTGTATGCACTTGAAGCATATAAATTTATATAACCACACATACATACTCATAAAGTAAAAGTTTTTTTTTTTTTTTTTAAGGCAAAACACATAAAGAATCTATATCTAGGGCTCGAAAGATGCTCAGTGGTTAAGAGTGCTTGTTGCTTTTCAGTGGGACCTGAGAGAGACTTTATTAGAGCTTACAGTGGCAGCAGGCAGGTGGGCAAGGCTGTGAGAGCTTATATTTTATCCACAAGCAGGAGACAGAGAGACTGGGCCTGCCATAGGCTGTTGAAATCTCAAAGCCCAATCCCAGTGACAAACCTCCTAATCTTCCTAATCAGTCAAATATGTGTGCCTATGGGAACCATTCTCATTCTAACTCCATAAAGTGGTGGGGTTTGTGGAAGGAAGTAGCCACGTGGGGTCAGGCACATCCCTTGATTCCAGAGCAACTATGAGGCCAAGGTGAGCCATTGGCTTCAGATACTGTAGAATGGTTTAGAAATGAGGAGGGACTTAACTTCAGGCAGACCAGACAGCCTAGGAGAAGCAGGTTGGCAGAGGAACCCACA